ACATTTTGTGACAAACAAAGTTAAGGGAGGGATGGTTTGATCCGACCAACCTGTAGCTCACTGTAATAAAGCGACTTTTCATAACATTCTTCTTTTCATTGCCTCTTGGTGAGAGGCCTCTATGGAGGGTTTACAGTGCCTTATCTTTTAACGGCTCCTAATCTCATGGCAACTCAACAGCTGCTCCCTGAATGTATACAAAAAAAGGAGAATAAATCATCAAATATCAGTCAGATGAGTGGAAATAAAATCCCGGGCTGGCATGCATGCATATCATTGATTTGTTCTGTTTTTTAAACCACGGCCGTAGGGTTATGAAAAGCATTCTTGAGCAATGAGCCTCTTCAAATATCAGATTGAGTTAGCTGGTGTGCGTTGTTGCCCTTTTGTTTGTTAGCAACCACAGACGTGTTGTCCAAACACAATTCATGAAGTCACCTGCATCCAAAGGGTTGTGTTTATTTTGGCAAAAGATGAACAGCAGTGTAACGCTGCTGATGCTAGTTAGGTTTGAACGCTGGGTGTGATTTTACGGGATTTGGGTCCTCCCCCGTGTCTGTGGCTTGATTCATATGTTGAGATTAGTAGAAGGGTTTGTCAGATAAATTAAATTTGGATAAGCAAAGAGTCAAAATATTTGTGTTTGTGTACACCAAAGTACTCTTCAAAATCACCAAATAAGATGATCTCTAGTTTAGGTATTTATGACTCAGACACAGATTGAATAGCTTGCTGTTGTTTATCAGATGAAGTCAAATACAATTTAGTTATCTGTCATGTTGAAAATGTGTCACGGCAGAGACATCAGAGCATTTTCTGTCGTTATTTCTAAAGACTGACATCATGCTTGGCTTGTTCCAGCAGGGTCTGCTTGCTGTTTGAGTGACCTAACTCCGTTGGGATTCTCTGCTTTGCAGAGAGTCTTGTGTCACCTTTATGTCACACTTTATTTGCCTCTCATGTGTGACCTCATTTACAACAACAAACCGTATACTGCTGGGAAATTCCTCCCAAAACAAAAATTGAAATGATGGATTCTCCCATTTTTTGTTTTTTTTCTAAATGCCAGGTCTCTGACCACACTGTTGCCTACTGTATGTTTATGTTTACCTCACTGGACTGAGACGTTTTAACCCATAATTAAGCGGATTCTTTCTTCATCGGCTGGCCGTACATGGGTGTGACAACAACATGAGATCACAGTATTTGAAAAGGAATGTAAAGTTATATTGAAGTTTATGAAAACTGGACAAAAAGTGATCTGTTTTGTCATTATGGTTATATGGTGTTACTTTGTTAATATTCAAGATCTGATTTATGCTATTAAGGCGAAGTTTCACAGAGTGTAGAGGCCTTGAATTCTACTTATTTTACTCATTTTGCGGCTGGCTAGTTAGCCAGCTACCTTGTCAATGCCACCATGCTTCCATGCTAGCGTTACACTGGCCAAAGAAAACCAGCCCAACAGCAGGCTGCTGGGCAGCAGCAGCAGTGCTAGGTCTATGGTCCCTTTGCCTCACTCCTTGCCGCAAAGAGGCCCCTTCGTTGTGACAAAAGCATGAAGGTTCTTTACAGACTAGCTAACCAACTAGCCAGCTCTGGAGATGGACAATTAGCTCGCTAACTAGCCAGCTGCCCTCTCCGGAGCTTCCGGCTGCTCTCCTCCAGGCAAAGGGGGTTGGCCATTATGGTCCCATTGGTTAATGTTAACTTTCTCAAGGAATACTCCCGGTCCTGGAGGGTGACGGGTTGTACATAGAAACTTGTATTTTCGTCATTCATTATAAAAATACAAAAACAAGAACAGCACTTGCTAGCCAGCGTTAACTAACATGTTCAGAGAATTATTCTGCCTCCACCTACAGATATACGTCATCCTGTTTACTAAAAGTTTTTTTTTCTTTTCCCATCCCATCAATCACCTTTCGACCTCTCAGATATATCTTGTGATCCACTGGAGGGGTCCCTCAGCTCAGGGTGAGAAGTAGCCTACTGCTTTATACTGTGTTGTACATTTGTTCATGTGGAAGCTTTTGAGGCATCTGCTAAAGTCTGTTTGTGGCATATAAACCAACTCCCACATAAACCTACAATTATTGTATCACTACTTTGTTCACCCATGCAATCCAAATACAAAGCCCTTGTTCACACAAAGGCCACCACTCGCATGTAGCTATTGGTAGCTTTAGAATCAGTACAGCTATATATTTAAAGAATGCTCTGCAGTTAAAACAATTATACCGGCCCTTATTTTCACACACAAACACATATCCGACATGCACCAGGAATGGCATCATCAAGAGAGCGTTACTTCCTCCCCACAGCCACTAACCATCAAACCCAATCATCTCTCCCAGGGTCTCTTAAGTCTTCTCTGTATTTCCCCATGGTGTTACCCTCAACATCTTCCTCACTCTGCAGACCGGAGGGCTGTGGTGACCACACTTTTTTTTCTTTTTTTTTACTATTTGCAGACTTTCATGCTTCCCACAGTGTTCTCACCAGGACGACGCACACAGAGACAGATCTTGGTGTGGAAAGAGGAAGTCCAGAAGGCAGGGCCGACCAAATGACACAGTGGCTCTGCCGTGGTGGAGGAGCGACGCACCGTGTGAGCGAGGAGACAAAACTGTGAGGGTATGAAGCTTGAGGCCGTGAAGAATGTCAGGAGGGCGGCGTAAAGAGCTGCACTCAACAAACTCCCACTGCAGCATCCCACAGAGGAAATAAGAGCTGGTGTTAACAGGCTGGGAAGAGGAGTTGCTGTGCTTTTTTTTGTTTTTCTGTCGGCTCGTACAAAATATACACAAAAAACAACCAGCAAGCAGATAGTATGCAGTAAATACCGATGTGGTGAAACTAATAATGTTTGAGTTATGGAGGGGAAGCTTTAAAAAGTCATGATGACGCATGTCTAAAGTGGTCACGAGTGGACCCTCATCAATGTGGACACTTGATGGGATCTTTGCTAACATCATTTATGATAGTCTAAACCAAAAGAGCTTTACCCAGCATGCGTCACGTGTGTTTAAATAAATGAGAAGGTGAAATAATCACATGACAAGCTGACTGCACTCATTATATTTATAAAAAGACTGAAAACTGCTTCAAGGAGACATTCTTCAATGACAACATTAGACAGTGAGGAAGCATGGTTATTAGATTCGGATGCATATTCTCTGACGGGATAAACAAAGAGACTGAAGGCATGAAGCTGACCAAGTGTTCACTAAGACAAGGCTCGAGGATCATCCCTCCACCATTCTCTTCTCGTGAGAATTTGAAAAGAAAAAAGCGGCCTCCCAAAACACACCAGAACCAGCATGTTTTTCCAAACCTGTCTGTAAATGATACCTCGGTTACTCAAGTGACTCTTAACAGAGCTGCGTAAGGCCTTCATCAATCTACATGGACTTCCTGTGGCAATTTATCACCGGCACCATTTGACATCGCTTACAAACCACACAAATCCTTCAAAACATGCAGTTGGGGCCCCGGCGTCATTCACTATTCCCCTCTGCCATGTATTTCCCCCCCTAAAATATTCATATGGTCCCAGTGTGACAGTCAGTCCCTGAGTTGTCACCGTTCCACAGACCACATTGTAATAAGTGTGGTTTATGGGTCCGGCTCAGCTCCCTGAGTGAGAAGAGAGGAAAGAACACAGTTTCTTCTCTATAGGAGCAGAAACAGCGTGCAGAGGGAAGCTGATCTCAGATCTTTCCTGGAGCCTCCCATGAAGAAAACAAGGACGGAGGTTCTCTTATTACTTGGTGCTGCTCGGTAAAACAATGCAGACGTAGAGACACTGCGGTCTACGTACGATTACATCTAAAAAACAGAACTGTCAAGTCAAAGTTCAGTCTAGTTATATAAAGTTCCGCGTTGTGGTAAATATGTATTTTTGCATTCTTGAAAAAAAGTTTGATGAGGTGATCAATACCACCACTCTCGTGTGTAGAGTAAATATGAAGATACAGCCACCAGCCGGTTAGCTTAGCTTAGCATAAAGACTGGAAACTCTGTCCAAAGGTAACATAATCCACCTAGAAGCACCTCCAAAGCTCACTAATCAACATGTTATTGTTTGTTTAATATTTACATAAGCCAACGTGTATAAGCCATATGTTTTAGTTTAGCGGTTTGGAAGAAAGCAGATGGATGTATTTCCCAAAGTGTAGAACTATTCCTTTAAGGATAAATCCAAGCAATAGAGGGGGCCAGTGCCCCGGTAATATTAAGCCTGGACTCACTGTAAATTGGGGTTTCAGTATCTTGCCCAAGGGCACTTCGACAAGTGGACTGAGGGGGCCAGGGATCGAAATACCGACCTTCTGATTAGTGGACGACCACTCTACCTCCTTGCTTGAAATATTAGGAACAACAAAAGTCGAATGTGGCCCGGTCTGCCCCCCCCATTTTAAATGTTTAGAGCCACCACTGTCAATGATCAGCATTTGTTCTATTTCAATATAAGAAAAATATTGACTCAATTTGTAGGAGAAACATGGAAATCGTACAATAGGCTCTTAAATTATGCACATTAAAAAGATGTCTAATCAAATTAAGATTTTGATGGGTAAATGTGTTAACCCAATTACATTGTTATAATTCTATATCTATAATTCTATTTGCACATTCCACATTATTATTTTCAATTGTCAATATCTCAGAGTGTACCCTACGTAAACTGTGAGAAAAAAGCTTTGCTACACGAAAGTAAAGAAAAGGGGGAAAAGTTGTAACTATAAAGAAGAAGTTGCGAAGGAAGCGTGAATAAATGAGTTGGCTCCACGTGTTTATTGTTGGGAGTTTATGGGAAGCGGAGTCGAGTCCAGGAACTCGTCATCATCTCTGACACTTTTCTTCTTCTTCTTCTTCTTCTCTCTGAGACGAGCGGAGCGGGGGGAAGGGAGAAGGGGGAGGGAGGGAGAGAGGAGAAGAGGAGAAGAGGCCGACGTCAGACGGCGGTGGGACGGCTTTACGTGAGGGCAGAAGGAATCAGAATAATAACGTCCTGAAGAAAGGAGACTCGAGTGAATGAGAGTGTGGAGAGCTGCGCCGCGCGTGGAAGATAAACCAGCGTTTCAAAACAAAGGACAGCTATTTCTTCTTCTTCTTCTTCTTCTTCTTCTGCGCCTGCATACATCTCTCCACGCCGACTTCCCGTAAGTAGAAGACAATGCGACAGGGAAACGTGTAGCGTAGCTGTTTGAAAGCACTGATGTCACACATCTCCTCTTCGGCTGGCAGGTTTCATGTTGCCAGAAAAGTGTCATTAATGTAACGGTTGTTGTTACAGGAAGTCTCGCTTGTGTGTTAAAGTCCCTGTAACTGTCAGGAAAAGACTCTCTTTTCTCAGAACCAAGCGTTGCATTGCACAAAGCTGAGTTTAATGCCAGCTGTTATTAAGGAAGTTTGCATGCTGCATTGATTCTGACGCAACCACATGAAGACAACCCGAGTGGTGATGTGTTTTTTAGTTTCTTTGGAGGGATGTGGACTGGGAGAAAGTGAGGCATCTAAAGGTGCAGCTCTGTGGTCCCACAACATCTGGCAGCAGCTGAAAATCCCAGCACAGTGTCTTATTAGAGAAATCACCTCCGCCAGAAGCCCAACTGCTTATTACACAGCTCTATTTTATTATTTTTATAAATTGTTTTTATATCCCAATCTGTCTTTCACACACGGCCGTGCACGCAGCAGGTCCTCTGTGTCTCTTTCCACCGCAACCCCACGTCCTTGAAGTGCATGGAGGAGTTCCACCCATGTGAGAGCCACCCATGGAGCTCTCTGGCCCGATGCACGCTGAGAGGGGAAGTGGCTCCACATCATAAACTAAACAAAGCCAGGAAAACCGTTGCGTGTTTATTCTAGCCGAGTTCAAGGACAAACCATGGTGACATGATGAGTGGAGGGAGTCACCGCCAACTTTCAGAACTTTTACACTGTTACAAAATCAGATTTTATTTCAATGTCTAACAAAAATATCCTAGAAGTTATATAGTATGCTGCTATTATGCTGTAATTGACTTTTGGTGTGATTGCCCTAACCCTGCCATCTTCTCCTAGATTGAGTTTTGACAACCGCCCGGGTGAGAAGTGCAAACTTGTTTCGTGTCACTGGATCTGGATGGAGCAATGTGAAGGTGATGGCAAAAGGAGATTTTTTTTTTCAGTGGTGAAAAAGCAAGTTGTGCTTTCTAGTAAATGTAACAAAAACTGTCTTGTGGCTGTATGTCAAATTGATCTATTTTGGTCTGGTTTATACGAGACAGAAGAGAAATGTGTACCGGACTCTTCTGTGATTGATTTCAATCTATGAACATCAGCAGAAAGTTGTACATCTAGGAAGATGGTCAGTGATTTATGAGTAGAACTTGTAGAGGATAAGACTAACTAACCATACAGATAGCCATTTCCAGCTTATTTGATGGATTCTCTATCTTCTTGGAGGGCCACTGTTCCCCATTCAATTCCCCAGTGTGAAAATCATCTTGTAAACTCTAAATTACCCGTTTTTCACAGCGCAAGCAGTAACTTTCCACGATAAGTCCACTGATCGTGTGATGTAAAATCAGTGAAGTGCCCCTTTAATGCAGAAAAGTTGATCAAATCTCCAAACTGTTATAATATAAAGTATACGCAACTATTAGTCATTAGTCAACATCCTAAAACCTCCCGTGCGGACCCTCAAACATCACTGTAGAAGGGACAATCTGGAGCTGTTGAGAAAAAGCAGAAAGTTTGTGTGCATCCATCATCTTTGTAGAAACAAACCATTGAGCAGAAGGGGGGGGGGAGTACAGCGTAGGCCGTGTCATTCCTGACTCTTTGTGTGAGTGAATTGTGAGGGTCACTCGGGGGCTTTTGTGCGTCAGAAACTTTGGGGCCCCTGCGGAGTCGGCGCGGGGGGCCGGGGGTGTTGCACAGATTGAATAAGTTAGGGGGGCCACGGGGGCCGCTCTTTGAGGACCGGGGAGGTGCATTCTGGGCCAACAGTGGCATGTCTTTTGAGAGCCAAAGAGCGAGCAAAGGGTGGGTGGGGGGGGAGGGGGCGTCGGCACGTCTTTGTGCTGCCTTTGTTTGAGTTGAGTGGCACCAGATGAAGCGGGCCTTCTCTTTCTTTTTTTCACTCAGGCACATGCACGCACAGCCGGGCCTCGGCCGACGCTCTCCTCTGGGCAAGTCATGCGCTTTGATGCAATTACACCCCGGACGAGTGAGCGCAGGCTGGCACCGTCTCACACTTTACGGGTGTGTATTTGTTTTTGGTGTTTGTGCGTCAGTAACTGTAGTGTTTTTCAGCACGCTGTGGGAGGTGGCGGGGGCTCTCACTGTTGACTTGCTGTTTACATTTCTGGGGCCCCTTATTGTTGTCGAAACCTCTGCCCCCCCCCCCCTCCCTGGTTGTGTTTGAAAGCTAGAGCTGCTGGCATGTCTTCAATCCAGTCGGGGAATGACATTTAATGTGTTGTTTTTTTACAGCTTGAATTGCTTTATGGCGTTTAATCTGGGTCTGTAAAATAAATCTCAACTAACTCTGGAGCGCTAAACTTGCATTTGATGGCCGCCATCACTCAATGGCTGGAGTCATGGGACGCAAGTCGTGGCGAGTGCCTATCCATGGGAAACATTTTATCCACTTGCAGCTCTTTCATGCTGTGTTGATGCAGGGCTACCGAGGCGGTGGCTCACGTGGTTATGGTTAGCGAGAAAAAGGCTCTTGAAGAGAGCGGGCCCCGAGTTGTTTCACAACATCTGGGAGGAACCGAGAAAGACTCGAGCAAACCAAAGAAGCTGAACTCGTCTTTGTGTCTCTTTTTGGAGCACCTCTCCTCTTCTGTTCGGAGCATGCTGGGAAAGCAGGTGGATGTTCGCCCCCTCCCCTGAGGCCACAGGTTTAGGTGTGACAATCAAAGGGAGCCACAATGTACAACTCATTAGTTTTGTGTGTAAGTTCTCTCGTTTTCTTTTTTTGTTGGAAAAGGCTTTGGTCTCTCGTCGTGGTTCGGGTTTCACAAGGTCACAAATCTTTTCAGACTGCCTGGGGGGGGGGGGGGCTGATCTGTTGCTGTTCGGTGGATGTAAATGGAAATTTACGAGGCATTTGCTGGAGGGCGTTGGTGTCTCTATTCCGGCAGGTGTTATGGCTTGCCCACTGTTCTTGCATCATCTCTGACAGAATAGAGACTTGATGAAGACTGCCTGCTCTTTTTAAATGAATAGGCGATTGATTGAGAATTTGAGCGGTTGAGAGGGTATGTTCAGTATTCAGCCTACTGCTGTTGCTTCACTCTCCGTCACTTCGCCTGGAGCTCGACTGCATTCTTTTATGAAAGAGGGATAAGTTTGGTCCTGCCCAACTCTGACTGGTATCGCACTAGTTTCATATCACTTGTTACTTTTTTTTTGTATTCTCCTGACTCTCTTGAGGGATTTCCTCACTGTCCACATCTTGTTAGAGTAGCTGTGTGTAGCCCTGAAGATGACAAAGTAGCCTCTTGTGTGGTTTATGGTTTGAGGGCCTCCCTCCTGGCTGGTCCAGAGGCATGACCAGAGCAGACCAGGCGCAGCAGCTTAGGGAACAGATTGCCTTGGTTTGAGGTTGCTGGTTCAAGATCTGTGGATTCCTCCCAGCCCAGATCAACTGGAGGGGGGGAGGGGGGGGTCATTGGATCTGGGTGGGTGATCAAACAGCTCAAATATGCTTTCCTAAACTAGAGATCCCCCACTGATACCAGCTTTCATTCCCATACTGACTCAAATAGCCGGATCGTGTACGGGTTATAGTGGGTCGATCTGGGATCGGACACTACTATTTTAATAAATAACAATTCAGTGCATTTATATCTACTTATTTATATGATGCCTTACACATAAAGCCGTGATGCCAACCACTTCCACACAGTGAGGCATAAAGCTCATTAACTTAACACTGGTACTCGGTTTCGGGCTGGGCGATATGGAGAAAATCTAATATCCCAATATTTTTTTTACCAAAGATCTTGATACTGCAACGATAGTGTAGGGTTGACTCTTGGTGCACAATACATTTATAGATGAATAATCATCAGTAATGTGGATATAATGACTTAAGTGGTTGAAGGCAAATTATCGAATGGCTGTCAGAAAATGACATCACTTTACCTTAACAAACCAGGAAAAGACGACACTTGCGCCATATTATGATATCCAAAATCAGATAAAAGTCAGATCGTTGCATCTCTATCTGAAACATTGAGAAACAAAAGCATTTTTCATTATCTCTCGCACTTTTTATATTCATGTAATATCCAATTCATGCTGTGTTTGACGCTGTGTTTATAGAACGATCTGAGTCAGCTTTAGATCTCTCAACCACCCACCTTCTGTCCTCGTTCACTTTCACTCTCCAGAACCTCAGCGGCCAGCACTCATTACCGCAGCACCTTGGCATGCTACCAGAGCCCTTTGCTGATATCTCAGACCAATTACTCCAGATTTAGTGCTCGGCGGGCACCTTCAACTAACGGCCAACTGACTGACCCACATACGCCTCGTGTCCACTGCTTTGTTCGGGGCTTCGAAGGGGCTCGGCTCGAAGGGGCTCGGCTCGAAGGGGCTCGGCTCAAAGCGACGCTACGCTTCATTAGTAGACGTTTTATTGAGCCGACGGGCTGCTTGGCCAACGCGTTTTCACAGCCAAACTGTTGGCCCGTGACACCATAAGAGAAAGTTTGTCTCGCTAGCGGCAAGGAGACTGTTTGGTGTTGGTTTGCTGAATGAAGGATTGGGAAACTGTGTGTGAGTTGGCCTCAGGCCTTCACTGCGTGCATTTAATCCTGTGGGGCGGGCTGGGTTTCTTGCTTCAGGACCGGAGAGCTGTGTGGGAATGAGCAGGTCCAGATCAGATGCGGAACGGCGTTGCTGCTTTCATCTTGTGGCGTATCTGCTGTATCATCGGTCGAACTCGGCATCGTGGGAGGATTCATGAAAGTGCCAGGATACCCCGTGATCTGTCTTTGCTGGTGTTGATGCATATCTATGACGGTGGACTATGGAGAGAGCTTTCGGTAACAGAGATCTGACTGTTTGAAGATGCATATCTATCAAAAGCAAGTGGGAGTACGAGACCCCTCACCCGCGGCGCCTCGGTCATGAATAAGACATGGCTCTGAGCGTCTGATGTGCCGCAAAGTGTAAAAACGCACAAGAAACCCCCGACCTGGCCAAGGAATAGCTGCACAAGCTCTTTCCCTGAAGTCTGTTCAACAGCCAGCAAACAAGCGGAAAGTGTTCCTCAGTTTCAGGATGCGGTGACCTCTGCTCGCGAAGCGACACCGCAGCGCGCACACGCACACGTATAGATGCATGCAGATCACCAGCTGTAAAGACTAGGATCTCAAATTCAAATGACTGGAACATTTATGATCTAGTGTTAAATATGATCTTTTTAGTATGAAGTAAAGATGAGATCAGGGTGGCCGTTATATCAGTAATGTTCACTGTCAAACTAACCAGACGAGATGTTTTCACCTCGCTCTGAGTGCCGTCCTTACCGAGACGACGGAGAGCCGTGATGAGGTACGAGTGAAGGGATTTCCGGGGGGGGGAGATGACACAAGGTGCCCGCCGACTGCCTCGACGAGGCGTGTTCAGGCTCCGTCCCTGTAGTTTCAAGAGGCAGAGCGGCTAATTTGAGGGACATCGCAGTCTCAACAGACAGCGCCATGCCCGGCCTGGATGGACTGTATAATCAGCTGTAAACAGAGGACTCGAAGTCCACGGAGCAACCCAAAACTGTAGCCTGGGTGGCTGAAACCCATTGTAAGTACTGCAGAATGGAAACAAAATGTGATAGCAACAAGGAGGGCCATGGTTATTGTGAGGAGGCCTGGAATGAACTCAAGGACTGTAATAAAATAGGGCACACCACAAACCATCCTCAAAAAGACATAAACACGCTTGCAAATGCATGTTCCTTTGAAGCAGAATCACAAGCATGTTTCTTCAGACATCACCTGGAAAAACCCCGTGTGACGTGGTTTAGATTGACAGAAGATAGTCGGACGGATCGTTGCTCACAACGCACGACTGAGCCTCAGAGGCTGTCGGACGGACACTGATGCTTCCTGTTAGCTTCCTGTTTATTTCTGCCGTTTCCTTTTTTTTTGCCCGAGAATGAATGGCGACACCGCTGCGGCTTCTTTATCCTGCTGCTGCTGGCGTTCAGCTGAAACTGAAATTCGCTCCCTCAGTTTATCTTCGGGCTGGCTAATTATAGACCCGCGCATTTCGGCTGAGGGTTCATGAAATCTCTAATTATGTTGCGAAATTGTGGAACGAGAAAACATTTTTAAGCGGAGACTTCGATGTTGCAGATTTAAAGCATCACACAACCGTGAACTGCAGACACGACTGAGCGACACCCGCATCTCAAGCGGTTCAAATCCCATTCCTCGACTCCTCACATGCTGTCATGCCTGTGACTTTGTTGTTGTGACCCAGTTCTGCTGGTTTCCATTCGACCTCGGATGAATCAGTCAGCCTTTTTGGCCGCATGAGATAATACTTTTTATTTTGTGATGCTTTCGCCTTGAACCGACTCCGATTGTATCAGACAGAATACAGCGTCAGTGTTCATTCCCTACAGATGTGGTGGAGTGATTTATCATCCTGAATGGAGGCTGGTGGGGAGGTTATGTGCAACCTAATACCGCAGTAATTCCCCTGGGCGTCGGACTGACTTGTAACTCTTACTGAATGTTTTTGTGCTGAACTTTTCATCACCAAGACAATTAATAGAAACAGTAAACTGTTATCAGTTTAGCCTCCCTTCTCTGGTATGTGAAAGTTATAAATCTATCAGGCTGATTTAGACTCTTTCTAGAAGAATTGTCCCGTTACGAACCTCGCTGTCAGCAGTTGGTAGGGACTATTTCTTCAGTAGAAAGTAGTTCTAAAAGAGATACTGGAAGTGATTTTTTTTTTTAGAAAATATATCTTTTAATAGAACCCTAAATCGCTGCCCACATCTCTGATTTGCTCAGCGGTTCAAATGTCTGTAGGTCTGGTGTCAGCTACATCAGAGAGGTAGCTAACTACATGAAAGAAAAAGCGACAGAAATGGACATCAATATGGCAACAAGGGCTGAATACAACAATGCAGAATTACATGTCAATCATCTCTGTTGTATTGGCGCGGAGGCCCAAAATGTACAGATATCTCAAAACCTGGGAGAAAAAACAACCACAGTATCTTCATGGTGAGATACCACTAGAGATAAATATCTCTTGTAATTTGTGTGATTAGACCCTTTTGAACTTCTCACAACCTTCTTTATGGGGGATCACCAGGACAGCCGAGTCCACCACGCTGGGGTTTTGACCCGGCTCCCTCATATTTTCCCGTGTGTGTCATCACAACGCTGGATCACGACACTCATGACATCAGAGGGCTTCTGAGGAACCCTCCGTGTTTCCACGAGACCACGGCTGTGTCGAGGCCAGTGTGGCCACGGCAACGAAATCAAAACATAGACACAGCAATCGCTTTGATTGAGACTCACACACACATTGATGCACATGCACACACAGGACTGAGAGCTCTGAAAATGCCATCTGTTAAAGTTTACAAGTTATTTGTAATGAGGTTTGGATTGCTGTTGAAAGTTTTTTTTTCAGACTGTAATATGAATTGATCTGCGCTGATCTGTGTTGACAGCCGCCCGGTCGCTAAATACACAAGGCTCTTGTCATTGTGAAGATGAAACCGATCGCACAAAGGCCCAGGGATCTGTGAGCGGAGTGACGACAGTATGAACTCGTGTGAGTCATCTTAACTGTTCCGATGGACATCTGGAAGTGTTGCTCACGCTGCACTCGCAGCTGGCTGATAGTGAATGTGAAGTAGCGCTCTGTGGGAAGATCTGGGGTCTGTTTGATGACAATGGTACAAATTAAACATCCCCTGGAGCGAACACAAGGGAGCTCGATGATTCATGGTGGATGGGAAACCAGTCGCCATGCAGCCTTCTTACCCCTCTTTTCTCCCCCCTTTCCCCCGTCAGTTACTCCCACATCACATGTATACAGATTCTGTGCGTCTCTGACACTCTTGTGTGTCTGTGGGTGTGCCTTTACAGACGCTGCCATGGCCGAGGGAAGCTGCTTCGGTGTGCTGTAGCTGTTTGGCGTGACCAGAGCTGGACCTTGCCTCGGAAGAGGAAAGAATCTTGAGAGGAGGGAAAACATCTGCTCAGAGGGGATAGGATCAGAAGAAGGAATCTGCTGGACCTTTCTGTTTGTAAGGGAAAGGAACTTAAAACTCTCAGAGGGCTTCAAGATTTTTAAAATCATTGGTTGTTGCCATCTCAGACAGACTTGACGCCATGTGCCATGTTATTGTAACATGCCGCTCCATGCTGTGGACGCTGCTCAGCATCGTGGTGGCCTTTGCCGAGCTCATCGCCTACATGAGCCCCGACTGGCTGCTGGGATTCCCTCGGTCGGACTCCGGGGCGGACGTCGCCCCCGGGGGGTACCGGCCGTCTCTCGGCCTCTACAGCCGCTGCCTTCGCGTCGGGTCCCGGGGAGTGGTGGTGAGCTGCGGGCCCTACGCCGGGTCGTTTGGAGAAGTGGCCAGCGGCTTCTGGCAGGCCGCCATGTTGTTTCTGGCAGCTGGGACGTTAGTGCTGGGAGGTGTGGCCTGTATCTCTGTGTTCAGCATGTGCTTCCAGAGCATCATGAAGAAGAGCATATTTAACATCTGCGGACTGCTCCAGGCTATCGCAGGTGAGACATCATGACTGTGTGTTTGTTAAGCATGTCTGACACACTAACTCAGGAATCAGTTTCACTCAAAATGGAATGTTCTTTGAGTTTTGTTTTTTATTCGATTGTGTGCATTAAAGATAGATGGGGAAAAAGCGGAAGAGAGTGACAGAGATGATATGTTACGAAGATCCCCAGCTTGAATCAAACCGACACCCCAAAGCACAGTGATATATATTAATTGGAAATTTAAAAAAATTGAACTCAAAATTCACATTATTTATAGTGCTGGGCAAGTTAACGCGTTATTATCGCGTTAACGCATTCATTAATTAACGCCTACAATTAGTGTGTGTGTGTGTGTGTGAACGTGTGTGTGTGTATGTCCTTGAGCCTTTTGAGATGGGAAAAAAAATTATAATAATTAAAAAACAACAACAAAAAAAAACAGGTAAGTATTTTAAATTTATTATTATTGTAACAGACCGTCTCATGTTTATCGTTTTGTATTGGAGATATGATGTCCCTTCAGGGTTTCCTTAGAGAAAAGGTGAAAAGGTGACTTCCGCTTCTGGTCGGGGGGGCAGAAATAAAGAGAGAAGCTGCACCAGCTGTTGCTCTCCCTGGAGACTACTGGACATCGCTGCGGTAAAGTCAGCAGACTCTCAGATCTCCGTGGTCAACTCAGCAGACACCTACATTTTAGTGCACCTATATGCTGAAATTCACAGTAAACGCATTTAAACGGCACAGATCGGGAGCGAGCGAAGGACTTTGAAAGTTAGCGGAAACATTAACGTGAGACAACATCCGGTTTCTTCAGACGAACATCCGGTTTTCAGAATAAGATGCCAACAAAGTATGAATTATATTCACATTAGTATAAAACATGCTACCTGCATCTCGTGAACCAAATGTTATTGCCCTTTTGTTCATATAGCAGTACTTTTAAAATAAAAGTGCGCAATACACTACTTTTGAATTCATTATTGAACTTTGCCATAACAATGCGATTCATCGCGATTAAATATTTTAATCGTTGCCCAGCAATTTATTTTTATAGTTAATTAGTTCTTATTTTCTAATATATCTTTTGAAAATATTATGAAAAATTACTTTTTCAGTGCTTGTTCGCATACCTTTGGTTATCTGGAGTACCTACCAACCTACACACTGGATAAACAATAAGACGACCCAGTCAGTTTTTTGTGGATCAAAAAACATGGGATTCAACAATTTATTCAGATTTGTATACCCTTCCTATGTCACATGTAGGCTCATTAGAACGCGGCCAATCACAGCCGACTGGGCTTTTTCGGGAGAGGGATTTAAAGAGACAGGCGCTGAAACAGGGCGTTTCAGACGGAGGGTGAATAAAGCTATATTCAGATGGACAGTATGAGAAAAATAAAGTGTTTTTTTAGCATGAAAGCATGTAAACGTGTTCTAGTAGAAACCCAAAATACTAGTATGAACCTGAAAATGAGCGTGATGTGTCCCCTTTAAAGTCATTGAATGCCTTTCTCCGTCGAAATAAAGGCTGGTGGGCTGTGAAAACACAAGATGCTTTATTGTTATCCCTAACTAACCGATATATTGTATTTTTATAACCATACCATAATTCTGTCACTACAATGCGAATGATCTCACCAAAATAGTGGTCTGATAAAAATTGGAAAAAAATATATAGTATATATATATATAGTATATTAAAAAGTATATATAATGATTTCACCCTAAAAAAACTCAAACATTTACTCTCATTCTTTTTCATTGCAATGCTTCCTCTGGGTTCACGCGTTCAAAGTTCTCAGTTGAAAGAGAAGGAAATTGGAAGTTCCCACAAAACGAGCCCCTTCAGGGAAGCAGGGAAGAACCGTGGACAAACACCTGGAGCTGAACAGCTACATTTCACTTGCTACCGAAGCTAATGCTAATAATCCCAGTTTATAGTGGTTACACGCCCATGCAAGCCTATTACTGTATGATTTATAATCATGCCATAGCCTTTGGGGAATGCCTCTGTTGCCGTTGAGTTTACAAGTTGAGACATCAGATTTTACAAGTTGGCAACGCCTAGTGGCGTGCCATTGCACTTTTCCTAGTTGGAGGTTGGCAATGAGGTCCCACAGGTGCGTTTGGCTGGACAGGTCTGTCGAGCGGGTAATCTATCACTGTGTGACATCACTGCAGAAGCGGTCAAATGGGGCTTTTACTTGAATCACAAATCAAACACTTGTCAGCTGAAAAAACACACGTATTCTTCACCAGAGTTGAGTCACCGCGCTCCCAGCTGCTCTGTGATCTGTTTGTGTTTCCTCTGCCCCGATGTTTACATGACTAAACCCCTCGTCTCATCGTCTGCTCTCTCTCTCTCTCTCTCTCTCTCTCTGCAGGCCTGTTGCTGATGGTGGGCCTCATGCTGTACCCTGCCGGCTGGGGTTCAGAGAAGGTGATCGGCTACTGCGGGCCCGAGGCCTTGCCCTTCAGGCCCGCTCTGTGCTCCCTCGGCTGGGCGTTCTACACGGCGATAGGAGGAACACTGGGATCCTTCCTGTGCGCAGTTTTGTCCGCACAAGCTGAGGTCGCCACCTCCAGCGATAAGGTCCAAGAGGAGATCGAAGAGGGAAAGAGTCTGATCTGCCTGCTCTGAGCCTTTAGAAACCTTCTAAGGAAACTCCCGGAAATCCTCCTCGGCGTCATTTCTTCTTGTAAGGACACTTGTAGATCTCAGTGGAGGAAGGACAGACATTTCTCTGAGTGATTTTCTTCACGATAGCCTGGATAAAATCAGTGATTGTTGAAAAGATGTAACAAAAATCGTTCAGCTTCAGGTTGAACAGCAGGCCAATGGACTTTGCCTGTAGACCAATGTTTTTGACCGTGATACTGTTTTATGTTTGTACTAATTCTCACCTTAAACAAACCACTGTGCTGGAATAGCAGCAGATAAGTCAAGGAAGTTGGTGGTGGATGCGTCGTTGGCGTTCTTGTGGACAGGTTAAACACTGCCAGACAAACAGTGTGTAGGTTAGTAACGCCATTATACTGTTCATTTCCCACAGCAAACCACTGAATACTACCAGATGTGTGCACTAAGACTCCCAACAACAGCTTGCGTGGGAGTGTGTGACAGACATGAACTTTTGAGATTTCTAAATGTCCACTTGCTCTGATTGTACGGCACAGCGGGACAGTAAGACGAGCTGACTTTACACGCGCCACTTAGCGGATTGCTCCCTTTTAAAAAGGAGTGTTCTCCTGTTAAATGGATCGTTTGCGAGCCTTCTGCAGCTTGTTAACTGGCAGAGTGTGTGACAGAAACTCAACTTTCATATTGCTCACAGGGAGATAAAAGCAGGCTGCACCGGATCTTATTGTGGTTTATCTTATGACTCACCGTACAGATCTGGCTTTGTAAAGACGATCAAGACACAAAGAGTGGGTCAAAACGGGTGTTTTTTCGGTACTTTTGGAGATCACCGGATATTTTCACTTTGCTTCCTATTTTCCCAACCGCGCTTCATTAAGTCGCTGTAAAATGTAGAATCACGTGACCGCTTTGATTCATTGTAGATGAGATGTGCAATAATTCAACCGGAGTGTGTTTGCTGCGAGAGTGAGCGGACCCAGAGGATGAGACATTTCTGGTCCGTCTGTGCTTAAATTAAGATGTTGACTGTCTGCTGTTTTTGTTACATTAACAAAAGAGTTAACAGCATCCATGGTACGTTGAATGATACTGCATGTATGAGAGTTCCATGTGTGTGAGGAAAGATACAGTCCGTACTTTGTACTCAAATAAACCAGGCCTTCTTTAGAAATTCTGTCTGTGATTCATATGTAAAACCTTTTTATTCTGACAAGATCCTTCTTTCATGTGTCTTTCCTGTTAAAACCAAACCTCCTGAGGAAACACTGACACCTAGTGATGGAAAGAAGATAACACAAAACTACTTTCCACTTCCACTGGTGCAGGGGTCGGCAACCTTTACTATCCAAAGAGCCATTTTGCTCCATTTTCCACCAAATAAAATTTGTCTGGAGCCGCAAAAGCTATTTGATATCACAGCTTATATAGTTTCGTATATAAACGGACCAACAGGAGCTCAGGTAGACCGGTTGTGAACCTGAAATACCACTTTAAGTCCGGTAACATTACAAACGTTGAGATTAACTACACGGATAAACTGAACGAGTATTTTATACTTGGTCTACATTTTGTTTCAAGTTGTGTGTGAGACACAATACTTTCCTTATTACTGTGGATGCTTGCAGGTCAGTGGCAAAATCACTTTCATAAAACGATATTCCCGTACATATTGCATCTGGCCTGACTTGTGACCAGGTCAGCATTCCTGGCTATATATATATATATCAGACCAATACATTTCCCCAGTTCAGTTACAGTGGGTACGGAAAGTATTCAGACCCCTTTAAATTTTTCACTCTTTGTTTCATTGCAGCCATTTGCTAAAATCAAAAAAGTTCATTTTATTTCTCATTAATGTACACTCAGCACCCCATCTTGACAGAAAAAAACAGAAATGTAGAAATTTTTGCAAATTCATTAAAAAAGAAAAACTGAAATATCACATGGTCATAAGTATTCAGACCCTTTGCTGTGACACTCATATTTAACTCACATGCTGTCCATTTCTTCTGATCCTCCTTGAGATGGTTCTACTCCTTCATTGGAGTCCAGCTGTGTTTAATTAAACTGATTGGACTTGATTAGGAAAGGCACACACCTGTCTATATAAGACCTTACAGCTCACAGTGCATGTCAGAGCAAATGAGAATCATGAGGTCGAAGGAACTGCCCAAGGAGCTCAGAGACAGAATTGTGGCAAGGCACAGATCTGGCCAAGGTTACAAAAGAATTTCTGCAGCACTCAAGGTTCCTAAGAGCACAGTGGCCTCCATAATCCTTAAATGGAAGAAGTTTGGGACGACCAGAACTCTTCCTAGACCTGGCCGTCCAGCCAAACTGAGCAATCGTGGAAGAAGAGCCTTGGTGAGAGAGGTAAAGAAGAACCCAAAGATCACTGTGGCTGAGCTCCAGAGATGCAGTAGGGAGATGGGAGAAAGTTCCACAAAGTCAACTATCACTGCAGCCCTCCACCAGTCGGGGCTTTATGGCAGAGTGGCCCGACGGAAGCCTCTCCTCAGTGCAAGGCATATGAAAGCCCGCATAGAGTTTGCCAAAAAACACATGAAGGACTCCCAGACTATGAGAAATAAGATTCTCTGGTCTGATGAGACCAAGATTGAATTTTTTGGTGTTAATTCTAAGCGGTATGTGTGGAGAAAACCAGGCACTGCTCATCACCTGCCCAATACAATCCCAACAGTGAAACATGGTGGTGGCAGCATCATGCTATGGGGGTGTTTTTCAGCTGCAGGGACAGGACGACTGGTTGCAATTGAAGGAAAGATGAATGCGGCCAAGTACAGAGATATCCTGGAAGAAAACCTCTTCCAGAGTGCTCTGGACCTCAGACTGGGTCGAAGGTTCACCTTCCAACAAATGACCCTAAGCACACAGCTAAAATAACAAAGGAGTGGCTTCGGAACAACTCTGTAACCATTCTTGACTGGCCCAGCCAGAGCCCTGACCTAAACCCAATTGAGCATCTCTGGAGAGACCTGAAAATGGCTGTCCACCAACGTTCACCATCCAACCTGACGGAACTGGAGAGGATCTGCAAGGAAGAATGGCAGAGGATCCCCAAATCCAGGTGTGAAAAACTTGTTGCATCATTCCCAAGAAGACTCATGGCTGTACTAGCTCAAAAGGGTGCTTCTACTCAATACTGAGCAAAGGGTCTGAATACTTATGACCATGTGATATTTCAGTTTTGTTTTTTAATAAATTTGCAAAAATTTCTACATTTGTCAAGATGGGGTGCTGAGTGTACGTTAATGAGAAATAAAATGAACTTTTGATTTTAGCAAATGGCTGCAATGAGACAAATTTAAAGGGGTCTGAATACTTTCCGTACCCACTGTATAATGGGGGCCATATGGTCTGCTATAGCAGACACCTGTGGCTTTGTTTCCTGGCAACATATGGTCTTAAAATGATTCACCTATTCTACACCAAAACCAAACTTGAAATAAAGAATCATTGACATGACTTTCGACTGAGCCCTCTTTAGTCTTTATGCTCCCAGGTATTGTAGTTTTTTTTTTTTAAGGGCAACATTTGGCCTTTATACGTTATGCTAGCTACTATAGTCAAAAAAAAAAAAAAAAAAAAAATTCTCTCGTCGGGATAATAAGTCGCTTACTATAGTTTGTCAGCCTAGTAGGGTTTCCTGAGCCAAAGCCCCTGAAGGCAACATGGTGGAGTAATGTTCACTGAACTGCGAGTGTCTAGCGTGAAGAGTTTTTGAAATGCATACCAAACATCGATCATAACCCAGTGATCACACAGAAATCTGCTTTTATCAACAATCCTAATGACAAAAGCAGATTTGTGAACCTTTGCAAGACAGAAAAACTGGCACTAAAGAGTCCTTTACATTAGTTCATGACTCTGCCACTTGTACATGCAAAGAACTCAGTACAAGAAATCTGCCCTTCATATTTGAACCATGACATTGTATATGCATCAAAAACACATGTAATAGTCAATATAAGTCAAGTCAGCCTTTATTTTTCTGTCACGCAAGGAAATACAGAAACATCAGGATTAATATATATTCCATGCCATTAAACTCCCAAATCCTACACTCTGGATCTTTAACGCCGAGTTGAAGCAATATTCTGATTCAGTACCTGTAGTGGCCACAGTGCGACATTCATGTTGCCATTAATACCATCTGCACTAAACATGGACTCATGAGACCCAGTGGTGAAGGACAGCATTGCTTTCTTGTCCTGTGCAGAAAAAAAAGCAAGTTAGAAAAAATAGATGCAACAGTTTCAGACTACTAATGCAAACCACTTGATTTGAGCCTTTACCTTGAAGATTCCCTGGCTGCATCTCTTTTCTTGAGAGTAGGCATAGCCCAGTGTGAGCACCCAGTTGATCCAGCCCTTCATGATGGCAGGAACAGTGAACCAGTACATGGGGAACTGAGAAGTAAGGCAAAGTGTTAGCTTTGAGCTAAGAGAAGCTTAGCGAATAAGCATTACTGTCACCAAGCCTCTACCTGAAAGATGATTGTTCCTCAGTGATGTCAGCACATAGTTTTCCTTCCTCCCATGCCAGTTTAGTCTCCTCTGCATAACGGAAGTGATCGGCATTCTTGACTTCTCCTGCCGAGACAAATTATTTTATTTAATTCTGAAGTTCAATAAAAAGCTAAACTTCTTCCAATGCCAGGGAGATATTGATATACCAGTGATGTCCTCATCAGTAGCAGTGGCTTTAAACGTCATGGCGTACAGGTCCGATACGGCCACCGTGCAGCCCTGACCTGCTAAAACTTCTACAGCAGCATCTTTGGCTGCATGCAGCGTTGAATGAGCCAGTGCTCTGGTGGGCATACACGATCAACACTTTCTTTGCGGCTAAACCAAGGATTAAAGATTGGAAATGAGCACACATCAGGGCAGAAATCTCACAAATGAAACATTACAGTTCATGAGGTACAACATTACTCAGAACATGACACATAAATCCCTCAGCAAATACAAGATAGGTGATAACTCACCCATTCTGGATACAGATGTCAGCTGCAACTTTACAGATCGCTGCTGTTTCGAATGAGAGAGCAGGTCAGTCTAGAGCAATAGTCAAGATGCTGTTTTATACACCACAAGACTCAACACACAGCCTCCTCACAGGTGCTGTCAATCAGCAATCAAGGTCATTAACCAATCACCTGGCATCTCTCAGAACTCTCATCAACATAGCAACATATCTTTTACTGACCCTGGACAGCATTTTTAAATGGGGAGTGGAATCTATGTATCACTAAAAGCCAAAAAATATGGAGGTTTTTATCAGTGAAACCAGCTACAGCTTTTGCCTGTTTTAAAAACAGGATAAACTTACAATAATACTCTTAGACCTACATCTTCTTCATTGCAGTGTGTGTTTCCCCCATTTCAGCCTGCCCAGAAAGAGACGGAGCGTAGGTTTGTTAATGTCTTTAAGAAGATATCCCTCTCCTTGACTCCATTTTCAATGTTAACACCAGCCCTGAAGCCGAGACATATCACCTAAAACTCAGAACCTTTACTTGCCTCTCAACAACAGTTCATAATCACAAGTTAAATTGTGTGTGACTTAGATTGAATAACTCCCATGAAATTACCTTTCTTGAGTAAAGTGGTTATACAGTATGTACTGTATAACCACATTGTATCACCTGAAGCCAGGAAATCATTACATTACAGTTATTTAGCATACACTTTTATCCGAAGCAACTTACAGTTCAGATTCTATCACAATTCTACACCATAGGCACAGCTACAGGAGCAATTTTTGGGGTTAAGTGTCTTGCTCAAGGACACATCAACATACATGAAACTAGTGGAGCCTGAGCCAGGGTTTGAACCGCTGATCCTCTGATTGAAGGACGGCCCTGCTCTCCACTTTGCCACAGTCGCCCCAGTTCTCATGACATTGGCATGGTAGCAAGTGCGCCATTGTTCGATTTGAAGGTGTAATAAAAATGTGTGATTCTCAGTCATACAGTACAATTGTTGTCATGTTTTCAAATGGGTACATGTGTTGTTGGGCAAAGTGTCTCATAACAGAACGATCTATTGAACACAGAGCCAAACTGGCTACTATTGTAGATTTGAATGATGTTATGCTCGCTGTAATTTATCACACAGCATTTTGAGGGTCATCATGTGCTTTACTTTGTTGCACACTTACTTGGGTTTATTTTATCTCACATGCATGTAGTAGTGCAGAGTTGTGGAAACTAACATCTCCTCTTTTAGTGGATTTGTTGATCAACTCCCAAACCACCAACATAAAAGCTCATTTGTGTTGCATTCTTTTACTAAACACTGATCAGTTCAGTGGTTTAGTGAAGGTTTATGTATGTGTGTTCCAATAACCATACCTCCATTCTATTAATATGCCAGAAAAATATCTAGTATGTCCTAATACATTGTATATCAAATACAGTTTGCCACAAATACCAGGATGTACTGCGTCTGGTCGCATTTTGCAGCACGCAAACAACTGGTGATGTCTGAGATGCCATATTTAATTCTGAGGAGAAAACACTGGCTGGACAGTTTTGTGTCTCCAATTCTGTGGTCCTGTGGGTCTAACTTCAAAGGAGTCAGATCCAAATATCTAATCCGGCCAAAACGTCTTGAAGTAAAGAAATACACGAGCAGATCATTTCATTGGAACCCATTGAAGACTAGTCACCACAACCTCATTAGGAATATTTAATTCGACTGAAAATGTTATAGACATCTTTTTATTTGGATCCTAGGAGAGCCATCTGAACCCCCGTTATTGCTCAATCGAGGACAGCAGAACTATTGACGTTGAACTTGCAGGTTTTCAATTTTGTCACTGAGCTCTCTCAGAATTTGAGTATTGGGGAATGTGTTCTTTTGGCTGCTTAAACATTTGAACGACAGACCTATCAGTAACTGTAATATGACAAGATGACCTCGTCATATCATAATTTCATCATCTCAAATTTTTCAATGACCTATTTAGGCCAACAGTATGTACCTGACAGTGCTCTTTTACTTCTACTTCGGTTTGTTGCAAAGTAAAAACACAAACGTACCTTGAAGTTGTTTTCTATGTAGTTCCTTATTTTGTTATCATCTGTGCCTCTCCAGTGTTGGTAAGTTCTATATGATCATTTTGAAATAAACTACAGCAGTGTTATAAAAAATTATAATAATGATAATAATTAATTAATTATTCATTAACGTCACATCTTGTTCCCTTGCACCTACATGTATGTATCATTACATTCTGTACTGGTTAACAAACAGTAAAGATTTAAATTATTTGTGATTTAGTTTGAATTAATTGGGAAGAATTATGCTGCATGTTGGGGTCGTAATCTATATGTTGGGATCTGACTATATGGCTTTAACATATAGTCAGATCAAAGAGAGTCAGGCCTTCCCTTTTGCAAGCAAAGGTTTCATCCTGATTGTAGTTTGAGCACCAAACCCCCAGCTCTGAAGAAATTCACATTAGGGTGTGAGTTCCCTCCCCCCAAAAACTATGCGTTCCTGAAGTTACCTGAAAGCAGCGCTGCAATCGATTTGGCCGAGGGCCAAGACACCCCAGGACCCCTGTGGTTCAGCCACTGTTCTACAAAACTACCTGCAACCCCCACCTCAATGCATTTTCCCTTCGACCTCCGTCGAGCTAGGGAGCACACCAACGTTGTTTCCCCCTTTTAACCAAAACCTAGGTTTAACAGTTTATATTCGCTGGCCGAATTCACCAAACTGTCTATTTTATCTTTGTTCGTATCCACGAAGCGAACCCTTTTATTCCTGCAGAAGTGAAGAAGCAAGACTTCTTCAGAAAGAGAGAGAGAGAACTTCCACTCTCCACCAAGCGCCTCGTTTGCTCCGGACATAAGGACGTGAAAATCCCGTATCCAGACGACAGCGAATCTCTCCTACCGAGAGAACACCTCCCGCAGCCCGCAGCCGCGCTGCCTGGGCCCAACGAAGCTCAGAAGAACCCCCCCCCCCTCAATCACCACGATTGCATCGTACCGTAAGGCGAACTAGAGTCTGGGCAGAGTTAGAGAGAGTTAATTTGTGTTTATTTTATCTTGTTCGTGTGCTTAAAGTACTGTTCATTTTTATAACATGGTGTATGCTTTATAATCGCCGACACTAACGGTCGCCGAGATCGTTGGGGTTGTGGAGAAGCTAGTGTATTTCATGCTACCGTGATCTGTGTTGAGCTAGCCGCCTAGTGAGGTCGAAGTTGCTTCTCATCAGGTCAGGAGGTCAGAACCGCCGGCTGAGACAAAGAGTCGCGGTTCTTGCTCCCCTGGCTGAGAGAGCAATCTTCCATACTCCCGCGTGGAGCGAAGGATCTTAATCTTTTGTTTTATTTCATTTTGTTTTGTTCCTTTCCCTTCTCTTTTACTAATCCACACACACACACACACACACACACACACACACACACACACACACACACACACACAC